AATATTTATTTTGTAAAATTTCAATTTCTTTCTCTCAGTGCGAAGCTACGGCTTAAGAAGTATCTGACAGAGTATCGTCGTGAATTTTAAGTTGTGCTAATTAAATATCAGTCGTGCGGTTGCGAAGTGTATGAGAATTTCGTCTGGCGATAAGTTCGGTATTAATAGTTTGATATTTAGATACGTATCCGGAAATGGTTGATTAGAATAAAAAAGGCGTCACGTGGAAACGGCAAAGATAAAAAAAATACGTAAATAAATCAAATTCTGCAAAAAAAAGAATCGTCGCTCTTGGAAAAAAAAATAGATTTGAATCGGTTTATTGAGAAACACGATATTGACAGGTCGAACCCGTTTCAATTTGTTTATCGAGTGACTAAATGTACACAGAAAGGGTCAACTGGAAAGGAATAAAAATGGCTGATGGAGAAACAAGAGGTGTCAAAAGAAGGATCAGCTGCGAATAAAGTAATGTGTCGCATTTTACGTTCAATTCCGCTTTACAGGAAACATCTGTTTAGTTTGGTATCCGTAAAAGGCCGGACCGGATTTTAATTAATCTGTACTTTGTACTAACGGGCTAAAGTGATTATGATATTAATTTCTAGATTTCAAGCATACGTTGGAATTATCACAATGCTATTGTATAATTGATCTCTCTCTATATACTTGATTAAAATATGATTTTATTAAATCACCATAACCCATCATCTCGCTTTCGCGTGCAATATCTAATTTCAAGTCGCATTCTGAATTATTTCAATAATATGAAGATCGCTTCTCAGCGATATTATTGTGGATTATAATCGTCATACAATTATTACATTTAGCGCCAAATATATGACATAAATATGAAACTCAATTAATGTCAAGTTAAAAAGCGAGGTTCGTTTAGAAAGAAAACGTAATTTCTGGCTCGCAAGTTAGGATTTGGCGATTTCAATGCCCGATCAAGCATTCGCTCTTAAAATTCGACACATTTCTCAGGCGAAAGGAATTTAATTAGATTAATATAGACATTCATTTAATTAAAGCGAACAGCTAACGATTGTTCATTTAAGCTGTGATTCCTTGAATCCACTTGAAATTAGAAACATTCATTACATTCATCGTCGTTATCTCAAGATAAATTTAAGTTACGGTTAAAGTTAGACGCAATAACACGATGAAACCAACGAGAGAGATTCAACGGGACGAGTTTGGCGCTGATAAATTCATCGTGCTCGTAACCGTCGTCAGAAATCTCCGGGTGAACTCCAGAATGACGTAAAAATCGTAGCTCGAAGGAGAACGACGTCCGACAGCACGTCCGGAGCAGCGTGGAGAGGGCACGAATTGCGGGCATTCGCTACGCTCTCTCGAGCTGCGATTTGTCCGCCCAATTTCACGGCCCTTTCGGGAAAAATGGGAAAATCTCCTCGTTCTCTTAGCCGCGGCGACGAGTGTGGGAAATAGACCGCGTTATTCTCCCGCGGTTGACTCGGCGACACGCCCATGGCGGACGCGCGGATTAAAACGTTCCTTCCAGTCTTACGTTCGGCGGTAAAACGAACGCTTTAACGCCGCCGAATAATCACGGGGGATTGTGGTTTAATTTGGTTATGGCTTTGACCCGATGGGTGGGACGAAATCGTGCATCGAGTGAATAAGTAATAACGTGACCAAATGACATTTTTTAAACAGTGCGTCGGATCTTGCGCCTAATTATCTTGATACGCGGAAAATCTCGTGTATTATATTGCTTATATTGCTTCTTGCAAAGTTGTAAAGAAACTTTACATGAGCAAACTATACTTAAAATTTTTAATCTGTACAAGACACAAGAAGGCACAAGATATAGGCACAAGAAGTGTGAAAAGACACAAGAACTAGTGCGGCCAGTTCAGTTAAAAAAGACCATATATATATATATGCACCTTTATTAGCTTAACTGACTTATAAATATAGCATTAACGAGAAAAATAAAAAAATAAATATCTCCGTGTTTGTAATATTGTTTGTATATATTTCTCTTAATTTCGCTCGAAATTAACATTTATCGCTTAAATTGTTAAAAGTAATAGGAGAGTTCTTTTTTCAGTAAGTAATTAACTTTCGCAGAGCCCCCTTAATATCGCTACTGAAAATCCGGCGCTCTACGATACAATTAGCTTAAGGCATAAAATATTGTTTTAAACTGTTAAGTCAGCCATTCTGCTGAGACCTTTGAAGACACCAAGAGGGTAACGCTCGGGAACGCTCATTCTAAAATTCATCGCGTACATTCGCGCAGTCCCCTGCTTCGCTCGACTAATCAACCCCCTCGCGATAACGCCGCTACCGCCACTGCAATCTCTATCTCTCCCTCTCGTCGCCTTCCGGAGCGCGTCCGCGGCACGATTATTAGTTTTCCGCGTCTGCCGGAAGCCTGCCGCCGCCGGGCTCGTTCTCATCGACCGCAGAGGACCTTGGTAACGTTGTCGTCCACCGACCGTCGTACGTTACCACGCTCTATAGGGGAGAATCGCTCTTTCCGCGTCCTCCGGGTAGGCGTGGCGGCGTCGGGAGAGATGATTTATCCCTTGCGCGAGGCGCAGTAACTGCCGAGATCGCCGACTAAACGACCGCGCCGGTCCTTTTCCTGTATTAACCGTAATGCACTCTGCCTTGCTATTGTGTACACTGTATACGACCCTGTGCCCCCCGCCCCCCTCCTCCCTCTCGCTCGACCCGTCGTTGCCGACCCGCTCTCTCTGCTTTCGCCCCCTTTGAGCCTCCTTCGATCCCCCTTCGGACACCCCGTCGACCTCCCGTTTTCTTCCATCGTCGTCTAGTCGTCGCTTCCTTCCGCTCCTTGTTAACGTTTTCGTTTCGGATATCCCGATTATTTTGCGAGAGACAACTCTGACTTGCGAAGAGCATCCGTATGATCGATCGCTTCGATCGCCGCCGTGTTATCACAATTGACTGAGCTTCGCGTTGTCCCTTCGATCTATGAAGTTCTACCTTATTAACAGAAGAATGATGCCTTTAGTACACAGAGGAAACAGTGTTAGATTCAAGTAAATAATTATTCCAATATTCCTTAGCTGATTTTTATTTCAAGTATAATTCAATATTCAAGTAAAATTTACTTAATCCAAGTAAAAATTTGCTAAGGACTTGCTATCGGAGTAATTATTTGCTCGAATCTATTATTTCTTTCTGTGTACTAGAAAAAGAGAAGGAGAATACAAAGTAACAGCAAATTGATTGTGTAACATAGTAACGTTAATGAAACAAAATTGCCGGTCTAAATTTCAATATACACAGATTGATTTTAATACGGCGATTCTTCAATTATTCACCAACGTACCATGCACGTTGAGAAAATCTAAAGATAAAGGTATCCTTCATAAAATATGAAGGTGAGAAGGTGAGACGCGGATTTCTTTTAATTCCTACCAATATAGCCGTCACGACTCTGTGAGAAAATGGATCGGGGAATATGGAAAGACTAGGAATTACATGAGAAAGATAAGCGTTGATTGGCGCAGTGTCTCACGAAGAGTAGCGCCTTCGAATTTCATCGCAACAAAGTCATGAAATCCAATCAATCTCTGGCTTGAGTCGTGTGCGTTCTCCTTACTTACCTAAAATCGAGGAAGGAACGCTCGACCGTGTTTCACGTGTTTCTCCGACATGCAGCTCCCGTCCGAAGAGTCACGGCTGGTTTCCGAGTCAAAGGAGGCTAAATCGAATTAGCCGGCTGACACATTGGCGCGTTTTGCATCGTGCATCGTCCTACGGTTGCAGCGATCGACCGACCGAACCCGGCATATGGGGTCACGCCTACAAGGTGAGCGAAGGGGGCCCCGATTTCGGCTGTGGATCCCTTTCAGTGGCTCCCGGGGCCCGCACGCGCCGCACAGCCTGCGAAAGTGAGCAGTCCGCCGGCTCGGGACGGCGATCCCGTGGGAGCATCACCCGGGATGATGAGTCGACCCGCCGGGTTCCCTCGAGCACCGCGACGAAATTGTCAAAACAAGCTCGCGATCTCGTCTTTCTCGGCTCAGGCCTGGAAAGTCGACGCGACAAACGAAGCTGGGAGCGTGCGAATGTGAGAACGAGGACTCGGAGAAACCACCAGGTAGTGCTTGGAATCTGAAATGCGCTGCTATTTCAGAGGCCGTCGCGTGCCGGTAAGAGCGGTAAGTGTCTCTCGCGGAGAGACTTATTTCCAGAGTTGAACAATCACGAGAGAGAAGGAGAGAGCTTATAGCTCGAAGTTCGGCTCCGAAGTTTCGCCCTTCGATTTTGATCGCGCTCGACTACCTACCCTCTGGTCTGATCGCTCTAACGCAATGTCGTGAGGTAGCGTAAATATTTTCCTCGATGTGCTGTATATTATTTTGGATACTTGGCCGGTGGCTAAGTTAAGTATCATCTCTCCATTAATCCGCCCGGCTGGATCGTAGCCGCGACTCTTGACTCGAAGGTGGATATAGGTGCATGGGAGGCGAACGATATTTCGTTCGATTACAGTCGCACGTTTTATTGCCGACACGATATTACAACGTATGCAAGTCTATAGCCCGACATTTTGTGCGCTTCCGCCTCGTTGCTGCGTTTCGCCGTGTAATGCAGCTGCGATGATCGCACGGTTGATCGATACGCGATACCACGCCGCCACGTTGCTCGCCGGGCTGAAACCCACTGCACTTAATGTAAACTATCTACAGGTACGAGCTCTACGGTGTTTATGCGGCGTTACACTGTGTCTACGTGTGTACGTGTGTACGTGTGTATTTACAAACTGCTGGGACTCGCTATTTACAACGCGCCGTATGAGATCGGCACTCCCGGGGTAGGATCGACCGCCCGAAGAGGCGAGCGCGCCGAATTCGCGTTCTCGCGTGCTCGAGACGAATTGTGAGATCGCAACGTGACGAAAACGACAGGGAGAAAACGAGGGGACGGGAAAGTTCGTACGTCTCGATGCACAACCGCTGTGAGCCGCGCGACAGCCGAAATAACAGAGGGACGAATATTCCCCGCTGTTGCCGATCGAGCGTTTTCACGGAAACTCCGAGGAATCAGTCAATATCCGCCGGTTCGAACGCTCCGTGAAACCGGAAAATGTCACTTGAAGAAAAACACAATACTTTGAAGAGAGAAATTAATTAGCCCCCTTAAAGCGCAAACTCGAGTTAACTCGGAAATAATTGCACAAAAGTTACGATAAACACAATATTGGAGAAGTATTTGAGTACTTTGCATTATTCTTCTAGCCGTGGAAAAACCGTGCCCGAAGGGGTTAAAAGAAAAAGAGAAGGGACTTGAGATTTGTATCCCCTCGGAATATTTCTCGCATTTGTCAAGGTCGATGCCGAATCGCCGGTATAAGACGGTATGAAATTTTACAGCGGAGAAGCGCCAGTTTTGCCGTCTATACCTCTCGCATGCTCCGGAGCGATCGATCCGTCCCTCCATTTTGCCTCGCGCGCGTTCCACATCGATTAATCTACCTCTATCCTTTCCTTTCGCGTCCCACCGTACCAGGTGTCCGTGCTCATCGTCCACGACGTTCACTACCTCCCGGAGGAGCCGAGACCGGCCCGGTGCGCTGGCACTGCGAACGCCCTCAGGCCACCCCCGACGCCGATCTCCACCCCCATCCCGGCGCCCAAGGGTGGCTGCACCTGACCGGTCAAGCTCACCGACGAGTTCACCAGTCCCAGAGCGTCGCCCAACATCGACGACGCCGCCGTGCCCGAGGACCCACCATCGCCCGTCGACTGCGTCGGTCTCGCGCGCGGCGCCCTCGCGCACTTTTCCAGGTGGTGGTGATGCGACCGAACCGCCAGCCGGCTCACGTGCACCGGTATTGGCACTACGATCCTGGTGCCGGAGCCGGTGTGCTGTCCCGTGGCACCGTTGTGACGACCGGAAGCACCCGAGGGCGTCATTGCCGCCGCCGCCGCTGAACCGACGCCGCCGCCGCTCAGCCCGGCCTTCACCCGCTTCCACTTGGCGCGCCGGTTCTGGAACCAAATCTTCACCTGCGCCACACACAAGTGCGACGTGTTCACTTCGGAGTTACGAGCGAGCGGAGGAGGGCGAAGACTCGAGATTAAGTATTTCGAGACTTCGTTAACCATCATTTCCTCCTTTCCCCTTTCCTTTTCGCTCACATTCGATTATTATTCATTCGTTCGCGTCCGTGGAAAAAGTGATCTAGTATCTATCAACTGAATCTCAGTAGCTGATTCGAACTTTGTTAAGAAGCTGGCCGTTTTATTTTCATCGCTATAAAAGTATTGGTTTTCTCTACCGCAGGTGAAGTACTTTTTTTGAGAGGTAAAAATTGATCGGATGAGTCAAGCGGGTGCTCAAAATCGATGATAACTTGATAAGCGTAGAGGAGACCCTCGAAATGTTGTGTTATATAAATACCGACATGATCGCGCTACTATTTTATAGATCTTGCGTAAATGTAAATACAAATGAAGTCTGAATAAAGTCGAATCAAATCTGAAGCAGTGAATTTGCGCTACTCTATCTTATCATATATAAAGACAAATCTGACCAAGATGTACAAACGTTTTTCTGCAAACTTTCCGTATTTTTTGGATCCCTACATTTAGTTGAAAAGATATAAAAATGTCTTTTGAAATTTTTCTGATTGGCACATCCGGTACGTGCAAGATTTCTGTGTCGAGTAAATATTTGCGCTAACTGACAGTTAGAAACGTCACTTTGAAATTTTTAGTAATTTACGTCGCATATTCAAGAATGTTCCAACTCATTTTCGCGCATGCTTCTACTGCATAAAAGCATTTATAATTCTGTGCAACCAATGAGACGTGAACTTTGTAGAAAAAATCAGTATTCTGTCTAAAGTTTTCAAGCATGGTTTATACAGTTAATAAGTCGAGTTCGGTAGTAGCGACGTAGTTCTTATCTCAAAAGAACATTTTACTGTCACTGTTGGATCTTAGATCCCCGGTTTTATCGGCGGATAGAAACTGACCTGGACCTCCGACAACTTCAACGCGTGCGCTATGTGCGAGCGCTCCGTCAGGCTCAGGTACTTCTTCGCATGGAACTCGCGCTCCAGTTCCAACAGCTGTTCGGAGGTGAAGGCGGTGCGCCGTCGGCGTGCTTTGTTGCCACCGGTGCTCGAGCCCGACGAGTTCTGCCCGTTTTCCAAGGTACCGCCGCTGGGACTCGTGGCGACGCTGCCGACGCCGCCGACCGGGCCATCGGAGACGTCGTGACCTTCGCTGGAGCCCGCAGCCCCGCCGCCCTCGTCGTCGCTCTCAGCTGACGCGCGGCCGTTCTCGGAGCCTGGAACACGTGAATGAAGCGCACGAGTCGAGTAAGATGCTCTCTTTCTCTCTCTTTCTCTTCATTCGGTCGGGATTTCAAAGCAAAATTTTGTTATTATATTACGGAATGTAGTAATTAGCTCAATAATTCTCGCGTCACGTGTGAAAATTATTCCACGAATTATCTCGTAAATATCTCCCGTAAATAAATCATGACTAAATATCGAGCTTGCGAAGCGCCGAATCCTTGAGCGTTATAATTGAATCTAAATTGGAGAGATTTTGAGGAAATATTTATGGCAACATGGAAAGAATTTTAACGATCCGATGAGGGATATTGAAACTTTAACTTCCTAAATTTAACTTCCTCAATAATTCAAAGTTGCGAAATTCAAGAATAGTTCGATATTCAGTATTGATGAAGAAGTAACTTCTGTGATGTTACGAAGTCGCCATTTATAGCGAAATGATATGTCACAGTATGCCAATGATATACACCTCGATCGATCATTGCGGACTTGAATGCACATAAAAAATCCGAGTTGCTTACTTGTCGATCGTCTCATGGTCGAGTAATGAAGAACGCACAATTAATTCGGTATCGCGACGATTACACTCGGTTATTCCATAAATAACATCATCGGGCGCGTGTATTTGATGGATTAAATATAGTTCCATAATAGAAAATAATTCCCGATTCCCGGAGAAAGGTTTAAAACCGACGACAAACTCTCGCGACATTAAGTCATCAACGGGGTTTATCGCTACCGAGACTATCGCCGCCAGTATGTATAGCCCGGCGGCTATTTAATATGCGGGGCAGATTGGTCGTTCCTTCATAAAAGTTGCGCTCTTCGATCGTCGGTGACGTTTCCCCGTCCGTAATTTCCCGTGTGTGCGGCGTTCTTTTTTTTTCCTTCCTTCATCCGCAGCGAAGCAACCGAGCACGATATGCAATATGCACCGGGATACGAAACAAAGTTACCGTGGAGTTTGATGACTCCGTCGGATCATTATTTATTGAAAATTATTCCTACGGCGCGGTTATATAGGAACGGTTCGCGCTCGGCTCATAAACGTTTCGACCATCGACCGAGCACGGAGAGGAAAAAGAGAAAAGCGGATATTCGATGTCGACGAATGCACATAAGAAAAAACGGCGAGAACGGTTCGCGAAAGACCGAGGCGGATGTCGAAGCGAACGTCTTGAGTTGGACGTCGACGGCGATTAGAAGATTTTCATACGAGCTGAGCTAAGCGCAGTCCAATTTTCCGACTTCTACCGGATATTGGGGACATATCATCTCGGGGAAATTCGATGTGAAAAAAGTCGAGCGAAATGTTCGTTTTGCTTGATGCGCCACTCGGCGATCGAATCGACCGGATTGACTCTGTTCATTTGTTTTCCTACACTGATGGAGAATTACATGGAGAGTTACTTCCGGTGCCAACCAATGAACCCTGTAATATACTGGAGTGAGACTTGCCTGTATTAAACTATAGAAATCTGCGGCTCGCCGAAGAAAAAGATGGATGAATTGGAGGAGCATCCGTCTCTTTCGTACATACGACCATAACAAAGAAGAGGGTACATCCCTAATATGTGAATCCTTTCCTACGAATGGGACATTACTCCTTGACGTCCCTTTCTAATATAGTATAGAGTTCAATGATGTCAATAATATTTTATAGTAATAGTAGTAAAAATGGTTCTCCTATTTCTAGTTAAAGTAAATCAATGAAATAAAGTAAATGAATGTTTCTCCTATTTCTAGTTAAAGTAAATCAATGAAGGAATAAATAATAATAAATCAATGAAAAATAGGTACGGTTCACGCCGAAAAACTATGATTTTCCATCGGCGAGCGTAAGCGTGTGCTCAGAGGGATCGATTTCGCGGTTATATCGTTAATCGTTAGGGATAATCGGAGGGTGAAATTTAGACTTAGGTGGACACTTGGTGTTAAAGTCGAGGTAAAGTCACGAGGTTCCGTCAGCCCCGGCTCTCGGGATAAATTGAAACGAATTAAAATTTAAGCGCGCTTAGCGTTTCCCGCGCGTATGCCGTATAAATAGAGCCATAAGTTTCCGTTCGCTCTCCCTCTTTCTCGCTGGATTCTCCCACTAGAGTCTAAGCGACCGCACGTGATTCGCGCAACTTTTCCCAAGCGCAACCTGGCCGGGTCGCATGATCGGCCGGTCATTATTCGCGGACGCATTATTTCCTGATAAAGTTCGTTGTCAACGGTCAACTCGGCTATGGTCACAGTCTGACTTATTCATCGACCGCGATTCGCGGTTTTTCTTATCCCGAAGTTAGCGGACCGACCGACCGGCCGGACGCGGCCAGCAAGCAACTTTCCATCACGCCGGTTTGATGCACTCTCCAGCCGATGACTTATTCAGCGGATTTCGATTAGGCGAGAGAGAGGAAGAGAGAGAGAGAGAGAGAGGCGCGCTTCCGCGAGCGTGCACGGGCGTTGTCCCCTGTCTTTACACTTCGCGGCGGAATCGAGCGTGCAGATCGATGATCCACGAGCGCGAGAACGACGTCGTTACATCCTCGTTTACCGAGCTACTCCTTGCTCGAGCGCTCGGGACCTTTAAACTATACGCTACCTGGCGAATAGAGTTATTGGAGCGAGGCTATAACCCGAAACTCAAACACGACGGTTTCGCACACTTCGAACCACCAATTCGACACTTATAGCGAATAGGTGAAGGCAAAAGTGTCGGGCGATGAAGGTCTAAAGAACGACGCAGTACTGCAAGCGTTGTTAGTGTGCGTTCGTCGGTGAAGGGAGGCTTATATTAAGGTAGAAGGAAAGGAGAATTTTTGAAATCACGGCAAAACTGTGCGGTGAAAACTTGTGATATGTGTAGACGTATGTAAACTCACATGTACACGATGAAACTATTTTATTTGTAATTAATATGTATTTAATGCCTCAGTCTCTTATTTGATTGAAATAAAAGAGAACGAAATATACATATATTTATTTCACGTCTAAACAGTTCGAAACAGATCGAAAATGAAGGGGCGTTTTTTTTTAATTTGTCGGAAACCGAAAATATCTTGATGTAAATAAATCTAAGGTTAAATTCATAAATTTTTGCGAATTATAGTAAATATATATTATTTCTATATAACACATATATTTATTAAAATATATTTTGAAATACATCTTCATTTCGTGTGAGATAAAACGTTGAAGATCATTTTGATTGTAATCAATTAAAATCCCCGGAGACGTTAAATAGCGAGAAAGAGAGAAAGAGATTTAGTGATATTATACAGAATTATGTAACACATAACAGAATATACCATGCCGCCAGCGGTATTCAAAGTAATTCGTCCATTGATTAATTCGGTTGTAAATTTATCTGCCAATTATGCTACAAGCAACAGATTAATTGGGTCGCGACATCTTTATCGATTCCATCTTAAGAAAAGCCGCTACGTGTATATATCTACGTAAATATCTACGTGTTCGACATGACATTAAAATATTATCGATTCCTCGCATTTAATGAGGATCTTCGAAAATAGCGAGTTCGGCTAACAAAGTTCACATCTTATTTAATCACCGGCGAACGCCAATTATTGATACTCGTCAATGGTGAGACCGCCGGAAATTAAATTATTTAAAGATCTTCATCGTCGATTCATCGGTCATTTCTATCCGATTAACTTTCACCTCACCACTCGATCCCGCTGTTTCCTCTTTATAGGTAAATTGTCTGCCAGTTGACGCGATTCGCCGATTCTTCTCTTTCCTTCGCAAAATTAAGCGGTGAATGTACGAGAGTGAGTCAATAATTATCGGCAATGTATTTCTAAAAATGTATTGAAAAAAAAGTAGCAGAGAACTTACAGATATATCACACCTCAATTCAGCCCTTTTGCTTTGCAATGAATGTACTTGGTCCAGAGTTCGATAAGTCCGCTTATGTCTTCGGGAAAAAAATGTTTCCCATTGATCTGCAAATCATTTGTATATCGCTAAAAACGCTTCAGAATCTAAATTTCGATATATCGGAGAATCTTCCATATAGTCTCGACTTCGTTCATATTACCTTCATATCATCATCCGTTTAGATTCCTCAAGAGTGAAGGAGATTGCGAGATCGTCGTGTTACCGGGGACTAACATATGAAAGAAGTGCACGAATGGCTTGCAGACCGATCGAAAGCATTTTTTCCGAGCATAAACGAACTTATAAAACGCTGGGTCAAGCATATTGTAAGCAAGAGGACTATATTGAAAAATGATGCGTTATGTTCTTTGCAGCTTTGTAATACATTTTTAGAAACGTATTGCGGGTAATTATTGACTCACCCTCGTAATTATCAACTGCGTCAGCAAGAAAGTGCCTTTAATTATAATCTCCTCAAACTCATAAATCACGGAGAAGAAGTTTGCCCGCCGAACGTGTGGAGGCATCGGACGGCATTAATGCACTCGCATTGTTGTGCCGCGATCGATCGGCGGAATCGCCAATCTCGCGGTATCGTCGTTACTGTGGGGCACCGTTCCTTTTTTTTTTCCTTTCCTCGACAAGTACCGCGCGAGGTCCTTCCAGTGAGCAGGATACGATCCTCCCATATCATGTCGGACGCAGACTCTCTCCGGACTCGGGCAATGAATAACGAAATTTCGCCGAACGGGGAAACTGCGGGAAAAGCGGGAGAAAGAAAAAAGCCTAAGGGTTCTCGAATGTCCTCGTTCGATTGCACGATGTATCGACGAGCAGTGTGGGGCGATTTATGCATCCGTGGCCTTCGCTAAGTGCAGTGACTCGCGGGTCCGACTATAATCACGGCCCCGTGTATTCCCATTGAGGATTCAACGTCGGACGCGACTCTACCGCTCGAGAATTCGCACGCTGTGATAAGGAGAGAATGTGGGACGCTTCATATAATGTCGCATAAATATACGTCCATACCACATCACGTCTCCTACGTGCACATAAACACACACACACACACGTGTGCTCCTATATATTTTTAATTAACGTC